TTCCATACAAGACATTAGTAAGGAAAATTAAAACTCATGGTATCAGAGGTAACGTATTGACCTGGATAGAGAACTGGTTGGCAGACAGGAAGCAGAGAGTTGGAATAAATGGATCCTTTTCAGAGTGGCAAACAGTGACGAGTAGGGTACCGCAGGGTTCAGTGCTGAGACCCCAGCTGTTCACAATATACATTAACAATTTGGGCGAAGGCATTGAATGCCATATCTCCAGACTTGCAGATGACATTAAGCTGGGTGGCTGTGAGGAGGATGCTAAGAGGCTGCAGGGTGACTTGGACAATCTGGCTCAATGGGCAAATACTTGGCAAATGCATTATAATGTGAATAAATGTAAGATTATCCACTTTAGTCATAAAGACAGGAAGGCAGCTTATTATCTGAATGGTGGCAGTTTAGGAGGTGCAACAAGACCTGTCATTGAAGGTTGGCATGCAGGTGCAGCAGGCAGTGAGGAAATCTAATGGCGTGCTCTCCTTCATAGCGAGAGGATCAGAGTGAGGATGTCTTGCTGCAATTATACAGGGCCTTGTTGAGGCCACATCTTGAGTATTCTGTGCAGTTTTGGTCTCCTAGTCTGAGGAAGGACATTCTTCCTATTGAGGGAGTCCAGTGAAGATTCACCAGACTGATTCCTGGGATAGCAGGACTAACAGATGAGGAAAGACTGGATCAACAGGGTTTGTATTTGCTGGTATTTAGAAGAATGAGGGGGGATCTCATGGAAACATATAAAATCCTGATGAGACTGGACAGGCTAGATGTGGGAAGAATGTTCCCGATGTTGGGGGAGTCCAGAACTAAGCGTCACAGTCTAAGAACAAGGGGTAAGCCATTCAGGACTGAGATGAGGAAGCATTTCTTCACTCAAGAGTTGTGAACCTGTGGAATTCTCTCCCACAGGAAGCTGTTGGAGACAGTAAATTAGACATATTCAAGAGGGAGCGAGACATGGCTCTTGCAGCTAAGGGGATCAAGGGGATATGGAGAGAGGGCAGGAATGGGATACTGAGATTGCATGATCAGCCATGATCGTATTCAATGGTACTACAGACTCGATGGTCCGAATGGCCTTCTCCTGCGCCAATTTTCTATGTTTCTTCCACATTTTAAAGGCAAGGATAGAAGAAACAGTGAAAAGTGGGGCAGGACTTTTTCTGTTAGTAGAGAATGGAGGTGGTGGGCATGTAATTTTATGCAACTGGTTCACCTGCTCACACTGCCTTAAAACTGAGTCATGTTCCCGCAGGCTGAATCAATGGGCAGAAATGACAGTGAGCTTATCAGAACAACTTAAAAGCCAAGCACTGAAGTCTAACTGGTTTTCTGCAGTCAACTTGCGAACAGGCCATCTGTTTGGATGCCGCAGACAACCTTGACACTGAAGTCCCAACCTGAAACAGGATCAGCCACTGGTGTTTAAGATTGTTTGCAGTTCAGAAAAGAAGTAAATGGTTGTCCTGCATCCCAGGATGATCCTGTGATTGTTGAAATATTCGATCACATTACGCAAATTGAATCAGCTGTTATTCAGATCAGATGAAGTCATCCTTTCCATTCTTTACTGCTGTTAAAGATATTCTGCTGTAGTGCACTATTCCAGAAGTTACTTGATGACAGTTTATATGCAGAGTGGACAGAAGCAAGTGCAAAAGTACTGTGGGATTAACTTCTTTTGACAGTGCACAGCTTAATTATTCATGTAGGATTATCTTGGGTTAAATTATTTGCTGTGTCGTGTTACTTGTGAAAAATCTATTTGTTTTAAAGAGGTTAGCAGTTGTGTTAAAATAGTGCGCCAAGGAATGGGTCAAACAATTTGTCCCAGGAAGATAGTGTGAAGTGTTCGAATTCTTGTGGTGTTTTGTTAGAATACTTCAGACTGTGACATGATATAACCATGTAACTGGATTGAGTGCTACTAATTGATTTACATAGCTACTGTGACTGGGCAGCCCCCCAACTAAATCTTTATTAGTTTTGTGCAAACACACAACACAGGATATTTTTGGAAGTTGTGATCAAAAAATAAATATATTACTTTTACAGAAATGTAGTTGCAGGATGACAAAAATTGCGTCCTCAATATTAAAGGAGTACACAACACTCAACAAGAATAGTTGAAGGGATAGCACTTGTCATGAAGGATTGCACTGGTGTAATAATTAGAGATGACCTTGGTTCAGAAGATTAGGATGTATAAACAATTTAAATGGAGATAAGGTATGGGGGAATGAAATCATTACTGGGAGTGGTCTACCAGCCTCCCAACAGTAACTGACAATTTATGACAAAGTATACAAGAAGAAATGCCAAATGCTTGTGATAAAGAGATGGTCATAATCTTGGTGTAGAGCTGGATGAACACAGCAGGCCAAGCAGCATCAGAGGAGCAGGAAAGCTGACGTTTCGGGCCTAGACCCTTCTTCAGAAA